CGGTTCCTAATTTCGTTTCTGTAACGGATTTTCAGATTCATGATCACAATTTGGTCCATGGGTTGAAGAATACTGGTCGTGTTTGCAGCCAAAAATTTCATTTGTATATTTTTCAAGCCTTCTATCTGTGGATGCACTGTACAAATATCCAAGCGCAACACAATTTTTCGGCCACTTTGGCTTAGCTCCTTATCCCATTCGAGGACCCACAAGGTGAAAAGTCGTTACGTCATCCACGCATTTTTCTTTCCTCTGTAAGTTACAGGAAGTGTGTCCACTTTCAAAACGTTGAAACATCGTAATTTCTTACTTTTCAGATCAAAACTAATTTTCTTTTATCCGTGCCTGACATATTCGCGCAGTAAAGGAGGGCGATCATTTCCATGGCTTTTTTCGATCCGCTGAGCTTGTTGGCAGAAAAACACAAAGACCCCTTTAGAGTTGCGCGATAAAAAAGACCTGTTTCGTCTGCATTGTACACTTTGTCATCCACAAATACATTTAAAATTTCAGGCAGCCGATCTTTAACAAATTTTCACAGACTGTCCTGTCCGCGGAACTCTTTTGCGTCATGCGCACATGTATACATAATTTGATTTCTATTCTACCACCTTTGCAATCACCCTTCTGTGGAAGCAAACGTTTTTCCAATGCTTTCCCCCAATTCTTCTGCCTTTGTCTTCAGAAGCGGGCCTTTAACAGTTTGGTTGTGGTTATGAACCGGTATTATCCAGTCTTTCAATGCAGTTTCAAATTCGGCATACCTTCCACATAGCTTCCTTTACTGAAAGTTTGCAGTTCCATGCGAAACATTCTGCTGGAGTTCCTTTCGTTGATCATCAACCTGGCTAGGGTAAGGCGAGAAGTGTGTAAATCACGCGACAACTTGGCCTGCGAGGTTCCTTGTGGATAAAAGTTAATTTTGTCCAAAACGTCTAACCTTGCTGTCAGGGACAAATTCTTTCTGTTACTGGCCATACTTGTGTGTAACCAATACTGTACTGAGAAACAAAGAGCGGAAAGACTGCTCTACTTCGTTCAATTCTCGAGTTTTGATTAGGGCAGAGGGCTTACCCACAGCCGTCTGTACATTTAGGTTACTCGTTTATATTATGACGCACATCCTTGTGCACATTAATTGAAACAAACTACGATTGTGTCTCTTTTTCTATGAATATCATGTTTTTATTCATGAAAGCTGCCCTTTTGGCATTTATATTTTTATTTTATTTTGGGAATAGATATTTCATCATTGTTTGTGAATCAGACGATGTAATAACCGCGCCTGTCTAGTCGTTACATCACCCAAGATTGCGTCATACTTTTTATGGTTAGTAAGGTTTTTGTTTCAACTTCCTGTTTTTTGTGATTCAGTCATTGTTTGAGATGGACGTGACTCCCAGAAGGCGCATGAACATCGTGACCATTCACGAACACACAGACATGACCTACAGGGACATAGCAAGAATAGTAGGCGTCAGTCCGGCAACCGTCAGCCATGTGGTCAAAAAGAAAAAGGAAACGGGATGCATTTCGCCAAAACGCAAAGGGAAATGTGGTCTTAAGAGGAAAACCACTGCCAGGGATGACGCTTACCTAATACGGGAAAGTGTTAAAGATCCTCGAAAGACTAGTGACGCACTAAAACGTGATTTGGGGGAGAAAGGAATAGAAATCAGTTCTTCAACGGTTCGCAGGCGACTCCTGGAAGTTGGTCGGAAAGCCAGACGGCCTGTGAAAAAACAACTTCTGACAAAAGTAATGAAAGTTAAGCGTTACAAATGGGGACTAAAATACAAAGACTGGACAAAAGAAGATTGGGGAAAAGTCCTATTCAGCGATGAAAGCCATTTCTATGTTTATGATCAGAGAAGTCAGTATGTTCGGAGGTCAGAGGGAGAAAAGGTTCGTGATTCCCACATTGACCACTTTGTGAAACACCCACAAAAGCAGATGTTTTGGGGGTGCTTTAGTTATTACGGCGTCGGCGCCTTGCATCCAGTCCAGGGCATGATGCGCTCTCCACAATGTATAGAAGTTCTGCAAAGAAGAGCTGTTCCAGAACTAAAATAGACATTTCCTGACGGATCCGGCGTATTTCAACAAGATCTGGCCCCGTGCCACACATCAAAAATGGTCAAGACTTTTTTCAATACTAATCAAATAACCATCTTGGACTGGCCCGGGAATTCACCAGATTTAAACCCCATTGAAAATATGTGGTCTATTTGCAAGCAACGCCTTCGCGGCACGGACTGTAGGACAAAGGAGAAACTTAATCAAGCTTTAATTCAAGTTTGGTACAGGGATAAGAGTGCGCCCATGGATTATAACTTTTCGTATAATGGAATCGGCAAAAGAGATAGAAGTCTGTGTGGAACACTTAATTGTTGAGACATGAAAAGCAGTGCCATTGAAAAAGCAATGCAGCGCACTTTGCGCAAAAGTACTGGGCGTGTGCGAGATAGCGTAGATAAGCAGGGTCGAGGTTCGTGACCGGAAGACAAGCTGCAGGTGGAACGATTTCCGAAATCAAGTAGGACGAGAAAGAAGATGAACAATGTGAGTGTTGACAAAAGAAAAAGACAAATATGCGTCCTCAAGAAGACTGTGGATTATCCAATAACCAAAGCTGTTACACTGCAGGAACAGCAAGTAAAGAGAGAATGAAGATAGTTTGCAGTTAGACACAGACATGCGAGGGCTCCAATAGATTTAGTATAATAACAAAATGCCACGCGGAAATAGAAGGTTACAGGAGTCATCAAAAAGGAACTGGTAAGCATGAGGAAACAATGTACACTGCACTTCGATTTGTTGATGAGGAGTACAAACAGTAAGAGTGGGAAAGTCACATCAATTGAGCGGAGATATAGGTGCATTGGACGCTAAAATTGCACAACTAGCAGTACATGAGACACCTCTTGATCGTACATCCTTGTGCACATTAATTGAAACAAACTGCGAAAACACTGAAAAACCTTTTTTCGAATTGTTATAATGAATTGCACTAATATACTCACATCAATACACAACCTGACCTCCTCGACTTTTGAGTAGCATTTTAAAACGGTTAGCATGGAATCCACTAAATTTGAAAAAACTTTAGCCCATCTTGGGTCCCTGTACCAAACTTGAATTAAAGCTTGATTAAGTTTCTCCTTTGTCCTACAGTCCGTGCCGCGAAGGCGTTGCTTGCAAATAGACCACATATTTTCAATGGGGTTTAAATCTGGTGAATTCCCGGGCCAGTCCAAGATGGTTATTTGATTAGTATTGAAAAAAGTCTTGACCATTTTTGATGTGTGGCACGGGGCCAGATCTTGTTGAAATACGCCGGATCCGTCAGGAAATGTCTATTTTAGTTCTGGAACAGCTCTTCTTTGCAGAACTTCTATACATTGTGGAGAGCGCATCATGCCCTGGACTGGATGCAAGGCGCCGACGCCGTAATAACTAAAGCACCCCCAAAACATCTGCTTTTGTGGGTGTTTCACAAAGTGGTCAATGTGGGAATCACGAACCTGTTCTCCCTCTGACCTCCGAACATACTGACTTCTCTGACCATAAACATAGAAATGGCTTTCATCGCTGAATAGGACTTTTCCCCAATCTTCTTTTGTCCAGTCTTTGTATTTTAGTCCCCATTTGTAACGCTTAACTTTCATTACTTTTGTCAGAAGTTGTTTTTTCACAGGCCGTCTGGCTTTCCGACCAACTTCCAGGAGTCGCCTGCGAACCGTTGAAGAACTGATTTCTATTCCTTTCTCCCCCAAATCACGTTTTAGTGCGTCACTAGTCTTTCGAGGATCTTTAACACTTTCCCGTATTAGGTAAGCGTCATCCCTGGCAGTGGTTTTCCTCTTAAGACCACATTTCCCTTTGCGTTTTGGCGAAATGCATCCCGTTTCCTTTTTCTTTTTGACCACATGGCTGACGGTTGCCGGACTGACGCCTACTATTCTTGCTATGTCCCTGTAGGTCTTGTCTGTGTGTTCGTGAAAGGTCACGATGTTCATGCGCCTTCTGGGAGTCACGTCCATCTCAAACAATGACTGAATCACAAAAAACAGGAAGTTGAAACAAAAACCTTACTAACCATAAAAAGTATGACGCAATCTTGGGTGATGTAACGACTAGACAGGCGCGGTTATTACATCGTCTGATTCACAAACAATGATGAAATATCTATTCCCAAAATAAAATAAAAATATAAATGCCAAAAGGGCAGCTTTCATGAATAAAAACATGATATGCATAGAAAAAGAGACACAATCGTAGTTTGTTTCAATTAATGTGCACAAAGACGTAGGTAACTGTTACAGGGCTGGCACATCCCTGCCTGACTTACTCGGTTTTCACTGGCGCCAGTACACTATCGGGCCCGAACAACACGGTCGCTATGCATAGGCCTGAAAAACTCAGTTCAGAGGGGCACTCTGCCTACGGAAACTGCCGCCAAGTGTCCACTCATACGTGCGGATAACAACGGACCCAACGTACCCTGCATAGTTTCGACTGAACTCGGCCCAGACACACTATCGTATATCCCGGACACTCATCAAGTCAACAGTGTGCTTCCTGAGCTATGTTCATGCCAATGCCTTAGCCACCGAGCACACTCAACAACCGTGACGTGCCCAACGTCACAACAGTATCGAACTCCCCCATCCCTGCCTGGAGATAGGACCACTACATTGTACCTCATGCGCCAACAAACGGACACCCTTCCCTTATAAATTTGACAAAACAGCAAGAACACGGTCCACACAGCTGGACAATTAAGCGGTGGAACGCGCCCGCAATGGTCAATTAGGCGATGAAAATTTAGCATATTTATGAGAAAGGTAATAGTGTTTTTGAAAAACTGAGCAATAAAGCGGAATGGCCTATAAACCGGATGGGCAATAAAGCGGATTCGACTGTATCGTGAAATATGATACCGAGTGAATTATCAACCGAGTACAGGCGTTCTACCTCGTACGGTTACGTCAGCTTACCTCATCACTCCGTAAAGAATCCCGATGGTGGATGATCAGAGATCCGCGCCTCAGGGAGTGTCTTGGAAGAACAGTTACCTTCTCTTCCACATCATCGACAATTCCATCCAGTTCACGCTGCAGAAGTAATATGAACAGGCTTTAGGAGTATCCTCATCGTAGAACATGAAGTTTTTGTATTGACTATGCACAGGCCAATAGGTGCGATCTAATCGGGTTACACAAAACAGCTTCGTGCTTTTTCAGTTCACGTCGGTCGGCTATTGTGGGTCATCGTCAAATCCGTTTGTAGCTGTCCTACGAACTCACATTGGTTAAAGACAAACACGAACATTAGAAATATAGCGGGCCTAAACACTTTTCCTTGAAATTTGCGTAAAGGTTATTATTTCGTTTGCTCCATAAGTGGATGATGACATCGAGGCTACTTTTTACTACTCATCTGATGTACAGATGCATAAGCAAGGTACAACGCTTCGGCAGGATATTATTATGCCTGAGAACATTCTACATACCACAGAGCAATGGGTAGAATTTTCATGCCATCTATGACCCCTGACCCTAGTCGTACAACAGACGTCATCTTCATCAATATGTTTAACCGACAGTATTATAACGAGTATACACGAAAGGAAACTTTGGAAAAGATGGAACTCCAACGACCTATGTCCTGTGATGTCTCAAACCAAGCACAAGGCGGGTAACGTGGACTCCAACCCGGAAGGCGAGACGGACCGACTGCACCCAGTTTTATGGTCAGTGAGTTTATTTTCCGCCACCAAGTTAACTTTTGACCATGTCGAGCGTTGCGCCCCCCAACATCTGACAAGCGAAACATAGCTCTCTTCGGTAAGCGATGGCAAGGCATACATAGACGTGCCCAAGTCAAAGCAACTTATTCGGTGCGATCTGCTTTTCTACGGAACTAGCCTGACAATCATGACCTGGCACTTGACTGCCCAAATCGCCGTTGTGGACACGCTGCTTCCATTTAATACCAGTAATGCCTCTGTGTCAAAAGTGAAACTGTATCAACCATTGTTTTTAAATCTTCCGGAAATCATATATTCTCCATTGGTTCCTAGCATTTTTCAAAGCGTTGAAATCCCAACATCTTTTCTCATTGCCATTTGCCCCCTATGTCCATACTACCTAGTGCCCTTCAGTCCTGTTTGACAGTTACGACAGAGCGACAGGAGTGCGGTGAGCAGATCGCTATTAACAGCCTAGAGCGGTGTGATTATTTGTGCTTGATACCATATAGTGATCAGTTCCAGTGTGCTGCGAAATCTCAGTCAGTTAGCAGTACGTGTCTGTTAGGATGATTCGTACTGGGCACTGATTTTTGTGGCAATTCCGAGTTACTGGCTTTCATTTCGCTATCGTTTCTTGCCATTTGTTGAAAAGCTTCATTTCTTTAATTTGATCAGCTGGCATACGCCTTCATTCACAACTGTTATTTCAGGGCCCAATTTCCGCCAATACTGTTTCCTCGGTCACAAGTGATTGGTTCTTGTTTTTATCGTCTTTTTCAATCCCAAATAGGCTATATCCACCAGTATAGGTGGTTTCATCATTTCACACTAACACTGCTTCTCTTTCGCCTGTGCCATTAGTTGTTGCGTATGTTGTTGGCCGACTCCAGTTGGTTTTATTAGCTTTGCTTTACCATCCTTGGATGTCACGTAAGCGGAGCATTATTCTCATGTATATAATTCGTTCCTGGTTCGTCTTTCGTGTTCTCGTTGCGGTCCTGTGGTGCGAGCAGTAGGTAGTGGTACAACGATTGCTGGCGACGGAGATTTTGGAAAACCATGGGAGTTTCATTTGAACAGCAGCAGCAAAAGCAGCAGAAGCAGAAGCGGAAGCTGCAGCAACGAATGCAGATACGGCTAGCAAAGTCACAACGGCAGCCGGTTGGAATGGCATTGCAGAACCTGGACATCCAACCGGAAGTCCAAGCGCAGTTGCACGGCTAAGTGTGGACGCCATTGCCGCACCAATTTCGGAGTTCGTTTTCGACTGATTGACGAATTTAATGTTCAAAAGTGCTTTCAAAAAAGTGGACATTGTCCATGGGAAGTTGGGTAAACAAGAAGACGCCCGGAAACTTCGGCTATTAGTAGGAAACTGTGTGTAGTTGAACATGAACGTTACACGAACTTCGTATTATTCAGGAACACCAGGAACGGAGGAAAAGCTGAATACAAGGACGAGTTCTGGGGATTCGTGGCATGGTGATGTACCATGTGCAAGTTGATGAACAAATATAGCGACGTCGTGCTAACAAACTGAGCCCACGTTATACGTCAGATATTGGGGTTCCGAAAGGCAATGGATTTGGTTTCAATGAATTATTGGACAATCATAAGCCCAGTGCCCATTTTCTGAGAAAACCAGAGGCAGTGACATTTCAAGTTGCATAAAACCAAAAAATTTTTGCTTAAGAGGTTCGCTATTTTCGGTTTTGCTGCTTATAGTTTTTTCCACTTTATTGGAAGACCCTCATCCAATATCCTGCGAGACATGTTAGCATCTGACTTTTATCCGCAATATACCAATGAACATAGACCTCCGTTAAGTTTGATGTTCGACCCTTGGCATATTCTGAAAATAAAGCCTAACACAGGTCATAAAGAACAAGATTTTACGCAATCTCTTCAGGCGAATCCCCGTCAGGAGACGTATACAACCCTCAGGTAGCTCCTTTTTAAGACAACTCCTGCATGAGTCTAGCTGCAGTAAATATTCTCAAAAACAATAAATTCCCCTGCTACTCAGTAACAATCCCTAATTACCGACATTCATCACGTTATCGTCCGTTTCTTGTCATTTGTTTATAAGCTACAATTCTTTAATTTGATCGGCCGGCATTAGACGTTCTTTACAAACATTATCTCAGGATGCAATTTCCACGAATATTGTTTTCTTGGCCACAAGTGACTGATTCATAGTTTTCTCGCTTCTTGGTCACCTGCAGCATCAAGCGTCTCCTAAGTTGTTGGTTGGTTCCAATGTGCTATAGTAGCTCTGCTTCTACCACTCTAGAACAATGAACACTGATTTATCGTGGGATAAAAGCAAGTGACTGACACATCCCGCTAAATGCTTGGGGTGAATGTAATGAAGTCGAAATAAATGTGGGCCATCTACCGAGCGTCTACCAATACACATGTGTTAAGAAATAATAGAAGTGTAAACTGGAAGTCGTGTAAGCACACAGAAATACACGGGATGCAGTAATCGTTAAGGTAAAGCTGGAGAAAAGTAAAATTTGGTCGCTCACTTATACACCGCCTTCTTGGGTCCATTGGACAAATAGATCCAGTAGAAGAGCATGATTAACGCAGTTTAGGTAACGAACTGCTGGGAGCTAAGAACAAGATCCAAACATTTCTTGAAAATGTCCAAAGTAGGGGAGGATACAACAGAGTCTGAGAGAGCGTGCAAGGGTTGCCAAACCCGAAGAGAAACCTAATTCCGTCGACACATTAAACGGCCATATTCTTTCCTCAATTTCAAGCTGCGTACTGTGGCTAAGTTTAAGCAAATGGCGGCATACGTGGTTGAGATCATTCAATATTTGGTACGCCAATAAGAGATCGCCGGGTAACCTTCCGTAGCGTTCGCTGAAAACTCCCAGCAACCTCAGCCTTCGTGGTAAGAGTGATTGCGCAGGCCCCCTACATTCTTTGTTGATTTTCGTTGTGGTGCCTCTTATGCCTCTAGGTCACGCTTCAAGCAATGTTCACAAGCTTGGATAGCATATTCGAGGTTAGTGTGTACGTCAGCACTGTGCACCGTTGGGAAGATTGATGGGTGAAATCGTCCGAATACTCTTCGCAGCAGGGCGACGTGTCAAATATACGCGAACCAGTCTTCTCATATATACCAATCAGTCCAGGTTCATCTTTCGTGTTCGATTCGCGGTTATGGAGTTCGAACGTTTGGTGGCGATACAACAGTGTCCTTCACCCGAAAACCTGGACAGATACAATTGTCTTGGGTGTAACTGAGGTTACTTCTGCTGTTTGGTTGGATTGTATGAAGTCTAATGTAACTACTGCGGTTTGTGATCTTTTTTGCTTTCCGTTCCAATTGAATAATTGTCCACTGATTTCTGTCTGTCAGAGTGAACTGTTCCCTACCAAACCTACTCTGGGCGTGACACCATTTTGGATCTGGTAAATCGGGTGGACGAATTCGACAAGACCAGAGGGCAGGAACCACTGGGACTCCGACAACTTGAGCATGTGTCGAATGCTCAAGGCAGAAGTGACGAGTTCTAACGCAAAGGGAAAGTAATTTAGATGTAAACAGCTAAAGCGAATTGGCGAAAAGAACAGCGAGCAGACAGCACAAGCATGACAACGAACACAAACTGAAAATAATGTGGCAGACGGCGCCTGGACAAGGGAGCCGGTAAGACGCACGCGTGAGGAATGAACAGGATGCGTTTGCGATACCGTCCACGCGAGCTTACCTAGGGGCAGACGGGCAGAAAATCAATGGCCCTGTGAGCAAGGTCAGAACGAGCTGTGCCGAGGACAGCAGACGTAAAGCGTGTGTGCGCCAATGAACAGACAGTGGCGACGTGGGATGCGAAAACAAGAATCGGCAAGTGAGAAGTTCCCGCAGTTGAATGGAGCTTCAACTCGGTGAACTGTTTAGTAGTAGTATGGGCTACGAACAACTGATCTACAATCGCTGTCCAGACTTTGTTATGACCCATCGAGGGCTAATCCATGGGTCCCACTTCGGATAGTTTTGACCACGGATCTTGTGCTTTGGCACCTATCACCGAACATTTGTCGAAAACCTTATGTATTGTCGGACGGTTCACGCTTCCTTGCATTGCAGTAAGTGAACCTCTGTCAGTGCAGCATAGGAAAGTCTCCTTCCATCGGGACACGGTCTCAAGGAATATCCACTGCACATAAGCCAAAACACAGCTTTGTAATCGTGTCATTCAAATCATTGTCTAGGATCAAACTAACTTCTCTTGTCGGTGCGTTGTGTACTGTCGACGGGTCTCCTTTTCTCATGGGAGTTGCGTTGCGCGTTCGGCCATTTGGAAGGATGTCCTAATGGGAGAGAACTCGCAAAATATTAAGCGC